TCGTGATGCGCCATCTCCTCCTCGTTCTGCCATGCCTTGCGCTTGTTCTTGGGCGCCATGACTGCCATGAACTGATCAAAGGAGATGCCTTGGTCCTTGCCTCTGGCTTCAGATTTGGTGATTGATGCGCCTTTGCCGTTTGAGAGGGCTCGCTTCTTATGAGGACGTGAGACGTCGCTATCACCGACTTCGTGAACAGACGGAACGCCATTCTGAGCTCGCTTGGCCTTTGATTCGGCCAGCTGACTGTCACCAACCTGCGCATAACAGGAAGTAAGGGGGCGTGATGACTATCAGCGAGACAGTGTGGAGCCGCATACATGCCTACGTGCGCACCTGCTCACCTCCCTGGCAAAGTCCACGGTAATCCTGGCAGTGTCAATGAAGGTCCTGTCAAAGTACTCCTTGGCGTCCTGCGCCGCTTGCTCGTCTTTGAAACCAATAAAGCCGAACCTTCGACTTGTGCCATCCGATTTTCTGACCAGCTTGACGTCGGTAACGTTGCCCCTTGTGGAAAAGTGATCCTTCAGCCTCGCCTCGGAGAGGTAGGAGGGCAGATTCTTGATAATGAGCCGCGACCTGCACAAAGAACAAGCGTAAGCTCGAATGGCTACTGATTGGAGCAAAATGAGCAGTCAAGGGGCTCACATCCTGGGGAAAGCGCTCGCCTTCGCCGCACCGCGTCCAAAGGTAAGAAGATGGTGGATGGATGAGATGCAGCCGTGGAAATTGGCGCTCGTGTCCTGCTCCAGAGGCTGTTCAAAGCCTTGTAATCATCAGCCCTCAATCCACACAGGTGACAAGTAGAGTTCGTGAATGAGTGCGAAAGAGTGCAGAGGAGTAGGAGATGAGAGAAGGATCGAACAACCATCACGAATCCAGATAGATTCGACTCAATCCGATACGGCGCCTATATACGCGAGGCATCAGGTGCAGGTGCACGAAGCAACGTGAAATTTTCCTGTGCGGCGCATGGATCACGTGAGCAGGAACTCGGTTGCGAGCATGCCTCATACCCTCGATTTACAACTTTTTGATTCGATCATGCAAGCCGATTTGATCAGTTGAGGAAGAATCTGAATGACTTGGCTGCCGCTCATTAGGCTTCCGAGACTCAACACCACCTTCACTCCCTTCTCTCGCGCTTTTCGCAGTAGCTAATTCCAGCAAGGCCACGGCATCCACGATCATCATGCAAACGCATTCTCCGTTGGATAGTCTGAAAATATTTGGAATAAGTAGACATTAGGAAAGCACCTCAGAAGCACGAGCAGCGGGTAAGACGCGGCTTTTTTTAATCAACATCTCAGGCAGCTGGCGCCTCATCATTGACGAGCACATAGCTGAAGGGAGCATCAGGGGGCAGCGGTGAGCAAATGAGAAGGTCAGTCTATATCTTCTGCCACTTCTCCTAAT